GCATGGGTAAACCACGTACAATATTAAAGCTTCACGATTAATTATGTGTTTCATAGAATTATCACGTCATAGTACCCGACCACTACATCGTTGGAAGGCAGTGGCGTGGCAAAGGTATTATTTTGGAACAATCGCTCCTTAATAATTTAGTGGTACTATCCTAGGAATTATAAAAGTACCTATATTCAATATCGTAACTTATAAGAATACATCATCGGTGTGTAATAAATAAATAAATTAAGTACTTGCGAATTACGAATGTCTGCTCAAATAGATTTAATATTTTTTAAATAATAAATATTACATTTTAGTGAGTTGTACAAAGCCTCCAGTGTGTGTGTGTATGTATGTGTGTGTGTGTGTGTGTGTGTGTGTGTGTGTGTGCATATGTATCTGTGTGGGGATATGGGTACCTTTTATACATTTTTGCTCCTTACCAAAAATTAATTCAAAACGTCACTGTTGTAGGGAGACGGGCTAGTAGTAGTATTACGCATAGTAGCGTACGTATCATAATATTACATACATCAGTTGTGCGTCGCTTTATGTTGAGAAAACTTATCCCCAACAAACCAGACGAAAATATAAATTGTATTGAAAATGATTGATGATACAGAAACAATACTTTTGCATTGGCAAGGCATCCTCTTTGCGAATGCACGGTTTTTTGTTCCTAACCTAAACGGGATTGTTACGTCTAAAGCGTACCATACACATACCGATCGTTTTGTCGATTTGTTGAAGTACAAATTGATCAACGAATTGACTATCTACTATTCATTATACACGAAACTACCAAATTATCGACTTGTATATCAACTTCTATAGTTTGGTAACTAACCAAGTTTGGAATTTGGTAATATTCAGTTCGTCGTAGACTGCAAATTTGGTGATACATTCTTTGTGCTGTTTATTTATTTTTAAAGTATAGCTAATCGTTAAGAAATAAGTATAAAGTATGACGACCATAGAAAAATAATTTTTAATCACTATCGGATTCTTTTAATGCATAGAAGATAATTATTATATATTATTATATTAATCACGATTAGCTTCTGGATATTTGTTTTTGGATTTTTGCATTAATTCATCCAATTCTACATTTCTTAAGTGCCTATTTTTATTAAGATCACTTTTAATCTTCCACAGAGCTGGATGTTTTTCATAAATTTCTATAAACTCCATTGGAAACTTTTTGTTCCACTCGAATGCTATTTTTAACAATTAAAACACAATAAAAAAAAAAAATTGTAATCTTTAATAAAGACGAAACCCTCTGAATGCGCACAAACTGACTAAATTTTAATTCTAGAATAGCAGGATTGTCGCATTGGTTTAATTACTCCACACACGTGTCAATATGCGTCAACCTGTTTACCAATTGACCTGTCGATACTTCCAAAGCATCGATTGGTTGTCAAACATTACTATTATACACCTATTAATTTATCTGTCAATCTTACATTTGTCAGCAAATCGATAAACCGAGCTTGAAAAACCACATTCTTTATTTTCGGATAATTAAAATGGAAGATATATATTTTTTCTCTACAGTTTCATAAGTAAATGTTAGAATATTTTAAGTTATTTTTATTCTGTAATTTTTTATTGAATAAAATATTTTTTTTTTTTTTTTATTAAATGTTTTATTCAATCTGTTACAAAAAAGAACAATAAGAACAATTGAGGAAGTAAGAAGAAAAAAAAAAAAAAAATTAAATTATAACGAGGTAAATTATAAATTATATAAATTATATAATATATTATATAAATTATAAAATATAATTTATTTTTATACTTATTAGGATTTAATTTTACATAACAATACATTGAAATTGGCTTTTGTTCTTTTTTCTTCGTTAAATGGATCCACTTGCATATTTTTTATTAATTTTAACTGCGTTATCCTCTTCAAATACTAATTCAATAGTAACAAGCACAGCCGTATTCAAATTAGTTATAATGTACAACACATTGTATTCTCGTGTGAATGAAAAATTTATATTATAACATAAGCGTTCATAATTTTTTTTAAATAACATTACTGCAGTTGAGTCATAGTATAACGGTTTGGGAAAAGATTATAGAGAGGTGAATAAGAAGTAAGCAGTGGCGTATTTACGAGGGGGTCCATGAGATCCGGATCCTCCCTATTGTTTCCATAAATACCTAATGTTTATTTAATTTATTAATTCTTATTATTTTCGTTTATAAATAAGAAAAATTAAAATTTGAATTAAAATTAAATTAAAATTAAAATAAAATTTGGGTATACAAAATCTAATATTTTAATAAAATTTAGCAAATGTTATTGGTGCAGAACAGAGACTAAAATATATACTTTTTCGTACTGTATACTTAAGGATTTTGTAATACTTCCCTTTCAAACGTTACCAATAATGAGTTATCACAGTTAAAATAGTTGGTATTTTAGATTTTGCTGATGATACATTTTGAAATTTTAAAAATATGTAATATAATTTAATAAAAAAATGTATAATTAAAACAAATACCATAATATAGAGAATAGAACCATAATACGCTTTTTAATTTTGTACCACACACTTAACATTTCGTATTACACAAAGTGTGTCGTCCTGCACATAAATACTGCACGTAAAGTTAACGATATTTTTAATTTAATTTTTTAACTTAGTTGATGTAATTCTCATGTGCATTAACTTAACTGAGTTAAAAAAAACCAAACTATAAAATAAATATTAAATGAATTTCATAAAGGACTTAATTTTAACACTTAATTACATACATCAAGGAGTAAGGACTCAGTTGATTGAAGTAAAAAAAAAAAAAAAAGTAAATTAGGTTCTTTTATTTTGTCGAAACGTTTATGACTTAACTGCTCGCTTTATTTTAACATAAAACATGATTAGGTTACTTACTACTGATATTTTGACGCGACTCACTACAACCAATATTGACGGGATACCTGATATTTTCGTATTAAACCAATAAACGAGAGTGCTGCAAAGTTTTTCGTAAGATATATTATATCGGTAAAAGTTTAATACATACTGAATTAAATCGATTTCTACGTATGACTTTTAATCACATTATGCGACGTTAAATGTATGAAAACCACGTAAATCTTCACAAAAGTCACCAGCGACCAAATTTACGTATTTAATCACAAACCATCCGGATTCACGAAGATAATCGAATAAAAGTACATGTTAAGGACTGACGCAACTAGACACTAGGGGGCCCTAAAGTCAAATATAAAAAGGAATAAAAATTTAAATGGTCTTAAAAAATCCCCGCTTCCTTCCCTTCCATAAGATAATCAAAATCATTGTACCGTTAAAAATTTCATAAGATCCAAAATAATTCTAACTTTTTTTAAATATCATAAACTTTTAAGGTAAAATCAGTATTAATATTTTAAGAGCTCTTTGTAAAAAAACTATATACAAAATACTTAACCTAAGTTTAATTACTGCTAATAGTACCCATCCTCGTGACACCACTCCCCCGCTTATCGGCTATGACTTGTCGAGTCGTGATAACGAATTTCTATAAATAGGAATAAAATTGGAAATCTCAAACACTATACTTGGCTTCCATTTATTATTTAATGATGGTAAAAATTTTATAATTTTATTAAATCAATAACTTGTACTTTTTTTATATACTCCATAAGATGTTAAAAATAACAATTAAAGTATAATTATAGAAGAAATATATAATTTTAAGCTATATATAGATGTTTATAGTAAAATATAGGAAAAATCCAATTTTATTGTTTGTTCGCCAAGCAACAACTTGCATTATTAAGGGGCTCTCGATAAACTAGGGGCCCCAAAGATTCACTTTAGTTGCGCCACTGCATGTAAGGTTCAATGTACCTTAGGTACATACATGACGATAACACATCATGATATCTTCACAGTACGTATGCGAGGTATGCGGCCCTTAACATTACAAATTGAACAGTCGTTCTAGCATATGTAAACTCCGACGTGGTTGTCCATACAATTTTATAGATTAGCCCTTTATTTTATATGTATTATTATTATTATTATTTTCTGTCTTTAACCGTTCATTAAAATTTATGATTTTTTTACAAAAAAATATTTGTAACACAACTATATGTTAGATATCGTTTAAATTGTTGCCAAAAATAATAATATTTATCACTGTTTTGTTGACGAAAGTCAGAACAATTTATCAATAAAAAAAAAAAATAAAAAAAAATACGCGGTTCACAAACCTTAGATTTTGGACCCTTGTAGGAAATAAAATGCATACAAAATATCGTAAAGCACTAGTTTATTCAACCTGAACTAAGTATAAAAAATATATCAATATATTGTTTTATAATAATTTCAAAAGAAACGCTTTGCTCAGTGGCGTAGTTATACAGGGAGGGGCCCCGGTGCCGTATGGCTCACAAACTGATATTATCCTTACATGAAAATTCAAAGGCATTTTATTGTTTTTTTTTCTTTTAATGTGAATAATTTTTTATTACGAAATGATAAATAAAATTAGTTGCCAGATAATTAACAGATGTGCAGAGTAAAAAGAAAATGCCGTTTATTAGGAGGTACCTATTATAAAAAAACAAACAAATATTGTGTGTATTATTATTATTCTGTTTCAATACTGATTGTTATTGGAACCACTACGTACGATTAGGAAAGTTAAATAACATCAACATAGTTAATTATTTTAGGGAAGTATAGTTTCAGAAATATTCAAGGTGCCCCCTATGCTCCGGAGCCCCAGGGCATTACCCCGCTTCACCCAATGTTAGCTACGCCATTGGCTTTGCTGGTAATGAAAAAGAAAGAAAAAATAGTGAACTTGTGAAAGGTTTGAGAACTTCACTGATGTACAGTACCCGAGCTAATATGCCGACGCATTTGTGAACACGTGATGTCACGCTCTCGAAATGAAAAGAGTTACCAAAAAAAAATATTGCGCATAGAATTACGGGCTACTTATAACTGTTCATGGTAATCGCATGCGGTATTGGTTACCTTAAGTACGTAATTTATTTGCAATAATCTGCAGCTGCCGATCAACGTCGGCGGCATGACCGGCAGGACTAGGCCATCGGCAGAATCCCATTGAGATTCGCTCCCAGTGCGTATCGACTCGCCAATATACTCGAGCACTAAATGTTGCACGTCTTTTTGGTTTTGTACACCCAGCATACCGCGATCTACTGAATAGTGTACGTTCTGAAAATAGCGATAAATATTAATAATAATGATAAGATCTGTCCGTGGATAAGTATTTCGGAGCTGCATGTCCCTAGCCCCCCCACCTCGGACTTTCGACTTCAAATTTTTACAGTCGTTTGAGTTTCGTTTGTGCTTGTTTGTGCTTTTATTCCCATCGTTCGTGCTTAACCCGTTTCCGAGTTATCGAACTTTCAAGGTGGGGAGATTGGGGACATGCTCAGCCCCCCCCACTACCTCGGACTTTCGAGTTCAAATTTTT